TGCGGGCTCTTCAGAATATTTGGAATCTGTTAGAAGCCACTTGTTTTTTTAAGAACTTCACATAACAGCAATCACTTCTTCTACTCTGGCTGCAAACTGCCTTACAGACTTTTTCCCATAAACTTTGCAAATTAAACTTGGTTCTTCGTCACTTGAAGAAGACGATTCCACAAATACTTTTTTTCGCAAATGTCAAAAAATCACGACTTTTTCAACTTCAATTCTTGAGGTTGAAATTTGATCTCACAGACGTCTTTTTTTTCTTACTCTTTTATCCGGCCGTGACGTGAGCGTACAAAAAAAAAGTGTACTTCGTACGCTCACGGCCGGACAAAAAAGTGACGTGACAGAAATTTAACCTTGACAACCACAAAACCAGTGAGCAGAGCAATCTAATTTTACGTTTTTCTACATCTAATGCTTTTTGACAATATTTAGTTCCTTGATTCCATCGTTTGAACACCGTTTGCGGAAAAAATCGCATGTGTTATTCGGAGAAAAGCATTTTTTGTGGCTCGTCTAAAATTATCAAACATTTAGTCTCGCCACAAAAAGTATCATTTTTACTCCTAATAAAACAATAGAAATTCACCTGCCTTTGATTGTAAATGGAACTTTAGCGTCGAATGATCGATATTTAAATGGAGTAGTAGAAAAAAGTGTTTTGTGTAACCAGTTGGAAAAAGCACTATTTCTCGTAACGAGCGAGTTCCGCAAAAGAAAGCGAGTTACGAAAAATTGTGTTTCCCAACGTGATTCACACAATATTTTTTCTAATTTTGTATATTATGAACTGATCCATTCAAATTCGAGTCAAAAACATGAAAAATGTCCCTTCTATATTTATTTCTAAATCGTCAAGTAAGTTTAGAGATGTTTCCTATTCCGTTGCTATGGAAGCCAGTATTGTTTATTGTCAATTTTGGCGACTTATCACCGGTCATTGCTTTCGGCGATCATCGACTACCTACTCTGTTTGCAGATTCTGTGGACGATTTGCTGAGAATTAAATAGCATTGGGGGTGGAAGTCTAATACAGCCGCTAACGGCTATGTGGAGAATTCCATAACTAAACAGAAAATTGTCACCAACATCCTTGGAAAGACTTCCATAGAAGAAACATTCAATTTATTCATTTAATTAATGCTACACAGAAAACTATGTTATCAATATCAACAATAATTGTTCAAAATGTGTTGAGTATTAATATTAATTATAACTAATTATTTTTTTTCCATACATTGTCATATTATGTAACTAATTTCTAACTTGAATAAAATTAAAAGAAATTTTCGAACTCTTTCAGTTTTTTGCTTATATCTTCTAAACCATGCGTTTTAAGGAAATACACCTATTTATAAAGCTGAAGCAAATTAAATTTCCTTCAAACTTAACCAATTATTCTGTAACGCAATAGTAACCGAGATAGAGTGGTTCAAAGATACAAAAAAAATTCTCAACTTGTCAAAAATGTCTTCCGGTCCGAACACAATTCAAACTCTCAAGAATGGGATAAACATCTTTTATCCTCGTCTATTTCACGTGCACCCGCAGTCTACTGTACCCCTGAATTATTTTTTTATTGTATCATATTTCAATAATTATTTTTGGAAAATAAACGTTCAGGCCAGCAGGCAGCTAATCAATAAAGGAAGGTATGTAGCTGGAAAGTATTCCGAAGTTGATGAATGATGATTATCTTCGAATGTCTGTGGAGTAAAATCCAATAAGTTTTAGACCTCGAGGACCCTGCTAGCTTGAGCTGGGTACGCATATGAGCATGAACGCGAATGAGGCAATCCGAGGCCGAACCATTTGCCTCGAATTCGGGAAGAAATAAATTTTTGGGTGACCTGAATAGTGGACGCGCGAGGCGTTGTACGGAATCGATCCATAAATAGGTGGTGACAAAGACAATACTACTACGTAGTAGTATTGTCTTTGGTGGTGAGCATTATTGTTGTTATTAATTTAAATTTTTAATCGCTTTCATCTCAAAACAACTCGTGGACTGCCTCGACATCGAAATGAATTTTTTGAAATTTCCATCCACATTGAGCACACATGAGCAGCGCACGAGCAGATGCCTCACTTTGATGTACAGCCAACAGTTGGATCGGGTCGAGGCCAAATGCATGCGGGTTCAAACAAATTTGCACGCCTCGTTCAGACATACACATACGTATGCTCATGCGTCCTAGGGCTGCCTCATTCGCGTTCATTCTCATATGCGTACCCTGCTTTGGGCAGCCGTGCTCATAAGTTTTTTTAACCATGCGTTTTTAGCGGAATACACCTACTTATTAATTTTTTACAATAAACCTTCTTATCTGACAAGAATCGATCGTTGAACGGGCCGGGGTTAGGTAGTACGCGTCAAATCCTTACATACTAGAAGATGATACACTCGAGGGAGTGGAAAGAGTTACAGTTCACACGCCCTGACAAAAAAATTACAACATTGAGAAATTGATTTTGGCCTTCTTCGGTTGTGAACGCGGCACCCCTACAACTGCCCCCAAACCAACGCGCTCAACTCAACAAGTGCTTGGGAGGAAGAGGTTACTGAAGAGTACAGACAGAAACATATCAAGTTACCCCAGGAAAAGCGCATTGCTATGGTCAAAATGACGCTTTTAGAGGTAGCAAGCACGATTTTGTCATATGCAAGACAGCAAGGTGATGAATAGGGACTAAAAATTGAAGACCGTATGAACATGTTGAATAATATGGACACAGACTTAGTTGAAGTTTTCAGAAGCACACAAAAAATAAAAGTTGACGTATCCGAGAGGCAAGTCAGGAAAGTGTTCATTTGAAAATAACAGGGCCAGAAGATTGTTCCTCATTTAGCCCATGGCAACTTTGACAGTGAATATCTTGAGAACTAATCATGCGATTTCCAAAAAAAAAAAAATACGCAGTTGTGAAGAGAATCAAAATGCCTTTTAAACAAGGTACCACTCGTACCATCTTCTCTATCAAAAAAGAGGGGTAAAAATCACCCACCCAGGGGGTGTACCCTAGTGAAATACCGATAGGGTCAAAAAGTTTCCCCCTTGAATACAAAAATGACGTATCCGAGGCTTTTTTTTTTTAATCGACCCTAAAACGCCTCTGTTTTGATGTTCGTGAAACACTCTCTATATAAGTTTAAAAATGCATTGACATTACCCTGAATTAGGTCTGTCCTGATTTCTCATATCAATGATGACGCTTATTGCTCAATGCAATTTTAAAATTGAATAGCGCAAAAACAGCTGAACCAAACAAATATCAACATATATTTGGAATCAGAAGAAAAAAATCTATCATTCTAGCCAAAAATATACAGGGTGTTCCGTTTGGAAAAATGCAAGTGTTTGTCATTATGACAGTTGGCACCTGTCATTCGCCAGTTTTGATATTTGCAAAAGATAACAGAAATGAAACCCTCTAGATACAACTTTTGTGTTTAACTTTTTTTTAAGTTTTTTTTTTAATCTAGGCTGTAGAAGCCGCACTAATTATAAGGAACAGACGAGAAATAACTCGGTTGCTATTGGAGTTGGAAGGATGCGGTTTTCGCGAACTTTGACTACTTTTTTGTCAAGCGAAAGATGGTGCCAACAGAATTGTCATCGCCTTTTTGGTGTTTTCAGATACAAGGTGTTTTTGAAAAAGTTGCATTTTGGGACACCTCCTGAATCTCGGTTCTTTCATAAGTGATCGAAAAGGTGACAACGGATCCTTATAGATATTTTTACGTAGAATCCAGTGGCGTAGTCAGTTTTCCTCTAGAAGTGATAGTTTTTGATTTATGAACCAAACATAGTGTTTTCAAATGAGACACCCTATATATCATAAAATCATTGGATAGCTCTGCTTTTGCTGATTTCAGTGATACAAAATGCGACAGGTTTATCTCTAACACTTTTCGAGCAAAAAATATTTTTAACTGTTTTTGTCATAAGAAACAATGTGTTAGAAAGAGACATTTCTCATTTTCCTTACAGATGCAAAGTTCTTTTCTAACACATTTTTTTTTTATGACAAAAACAGACATGATCGAGAGACTCCTATCGAACTTTAGGTATATTATCGAAATCAGCAGAAGCAAAGCTATCCAATAAGCTATCAATATACAGGGTGTCTCATTTGAAAAAAATGTACGTTTGGTTTATAATTTAAAAACTATCACTTCCAGTGACAATATCTATAAGAATCCGTTGCTCGATCCGTTGTCACCTTTTCGATCACTTTCGAGAACTGAGATACAAGGGGTGTACCAAAATGCAAATTTTTCAAAAACACCTTGTATCTGAAAAAACCAAAGGGGCGATGACAATTCTGTTGGCACCATCTTTCGTTTGACAGAAAAGTAGCCAAAGTTCGCGAAAACCGCATCATTCCAACTCCAATAGCAACAGAGTTATTCCTTATGTAGTACAACCAAAATGGGACATCCTGTACATGAATCTATGTCCCTATGGTACGAGCAGACCACTAATGACAGTGTTAACTGTAAAATGTGACAGGTGCAGATTTTTGAACCATTTCTGAACAAGGGATTTTGCTGAAATTTTGCATGCACTTTAAGTTCGGGTGATAATATAATTTGGAATATTCAACAGCTATCAAATGTAATTTATGACAGATTTCAGTTGTCTAAATATGACAAAAGGCCGTCATATGCCTGCCCGGTGTTCAGAATCGGAAACGCCATAGGACATGTCAGAAGAGTTGAAATTCAGATTTTTACAGGTCTTCTTCAATATGCGCCAAGTCATTGTTTGAACTGAACCATTTTTCAGCATATAGGTAACTCTGAACTCTTTATGACTGAAAACATAAATTGCTATTTTCTTGTAAATATATCTATCTAGTTATTTTAAAGGTTGAAAAGTAAATAAAAGAAATAAACATATTTATGTTTCAAAAACGGCGTTTGGCATTAATTTCTCAAGCAGTGCACTAATTTAGCCCAAACTTGTAAGTAAAGGCAGTCAGAAAACTTCACATGAAAGCTGGGAACGAGTTTTTATTCAACACAAAAATCACAAACATTCTTCTTATAAATAGGTAATAAATAAGTAGGATAATTTAACAAAAATCACGGATTTCAACACAAATTGTTTTCAGTGCCTCTAGATATTTGTTTATGAATTACAGCAATTGGTTCTTATTGGATCAAAGTCGCCGATTCAACTGGAAACTGCGCCTAAAGACGAGACTCACAAACGCAAATTGTGCAAACTTTAAGAGCGAAATTCGCTTTTTTTTGAAATTCACATGATGACTATATAAACTTGAAGGCAAAAAGGAGGTTAACTTCTATAAAAAGTTCCTATTTCAAACCCCAGTTAAAAAAAAAAAACAAAAAAGTAGCTAACTGTCAGCTAGCTGTCAGTGGCATTCGTCAATAAATAAAATATGTTTTTTTTTTGCTCATCTCATTCCGGAAAATCTTATTGGTCATTATTCCTAGTTTTAAATATGCCTCTGAGCTACCACCGTTTTTTACCATTGTTTTTTCATCTCCCTTTTACTTTTGTTTTTCAATGAAAAATTTAAGTATCGTTATGTTGTTTGTAAAAGCAAACTCATAAATAAAATCAATGCAATTTGAATATAACAATAATGCTTTATCCCTAATCAGCTAATCTATAAATGGATACAGAAATTAATCAGAAGCGAAATTTGCTAAGAGGTTGAGATATTTCTTGCAGCCAAAAGTAAAAATAAATCGCGACGCGCGTTTGTGAGTATTAGCCTCAGGAATAGTACTCTCATGCCAAATATTTCAAAAATCTCAACAGGCACGAAAAGAGAAATAATATAACAAACAGATGGTTTTTGAAAGTTACAGAAATGCAGCAATATAGGTTTAAATTTTATTCTCCTTATGTAATTAATGGTAAATGTTGCTTTACAGTTCTGTCTTTTAAAGCATAGCAATTCCCTAACTTTCTACTCACCTAATGATATCCGTTTAAAGATACTATAATAATTAAATAATTTGATCTAAAATACTTTTTTCTTTGTAAGCTTTAGCTAACTAACTAATTTTAGTTTTGATTTTCTATCAACGAATATCACTGTTTGGAGAAATAGTCGAAAAATCATGCACATAGTTCTACGTTTTCAACAAATAAATATAATTTTATCAATTGGGTACATTCAGGCAGTCCCAGCAACTGAGACTGCTTACTAAGAAGCCCAACTGAATGTAGCGCTGCGTAAAAGCTTCACGTCAGCGGCTGAGTGTTTGGCTCAGCTTAGAAAATTGCCGCTTTAAAAAAAACGGATTGCGGTATTTGACATTTTCGACAATAATGACCTTTGAATTAAAATATATAACAGGCTACACGGTACAAGGTAATTTGCCAGAAAATTTGAATATGTTGTTGTAAATTGACTTTGCTGCTAAAGCGAATGGTGAATGCGAATACATATATAACTTCTTCTTCTTGTTCGTTAATAGCGCTGCTACTAGGCAATTTGCCAGCACAATTTCGTGGTGACCCTGATGTTGTCTGGCTCTAGGCCATATCATAGGTTCCCTATTCGTTTCAATTTCTTCTATCTTCAATTTTTTTTTTTTGTGAAAAGCAAATCCAGGATTTGCCTAGATCAATCGCTGAAGCCGGATATAACCTGTTTCTGTCAAAACAAACAGCGTTTTCACGAGTGAACATTTTGTTTATCTTAGAAATCTAACAAAAAGACGCAACAATCCACGGATGGCGATGAATCTCGGTTTTCAATCGCGGAGGTGAGCCAAAATTTGGTCTCTACACGCCTCTAGTGCACCACACGGTGAAGCTCTTGGAGCTCCTTAAACCAACCAACCACACTCTGGCGAGAACAAAACGAGACAAAAAAATGAGTGAAGTGAAAAAAATATTAGGTCATGGTTTGGTTGTCTTAGACATTCAATCCGCTCCATGTAGCCACGCATTCAGCATAAACGAAGCCGCTTTATAACAGCGGCCACAACTGCCAAGTGCTGAACTTAGCCTCTGGCACCGCCTGAATGTACCCAATTAATACCTACGTAACATAACCTAAAATATATAAAAGAAATATCTAAGTAGTGACTCTACGTCTATTTCTTATTAAATTTGTATCGTTAAAAGCTGATATTATAAAAGGTTACGTTACTTACGCTATCATCAATAATGTTCGACAACGATAACAATAAAAAAACTATCGGATCGACTGATCAATAATTTTAAAAAAAAAAGTTCTCTACACAGAAAACTCTATTAGTTTTGGGCTAGTGCCGGAGGTAAAATTGCTCTAACTTGGATAAATAAATAATGAATACTCATATAATAGCTAAGTCTTATTACTTTATAGGAAATTCTGGCCAATAATTAATGTGATACCTCTGAGTTGTACCTTCAAAAAGACGATCTAACCAATTGGAAAGACCATCTAACAAACTACCTTGTAGCAGAATTTCTTCAGATTCGGATTCCGAGTCTTCTGAGTTGAAGCCTATAAATGCTCCACTTTCACAGTCTTTTTGGCCAGGAGTATCTGTGGATTTCGTTAATGTCTTTCTTTTCTCGGTGTGTTTGGCATGAAATACACAAAAATACTTCCTGTGTCCGTTCAAAGCTAAAACAGTCCCAACACAATTTCTCGGGTTAATATTCAACTCCCTCTCTTCGAACAGAGACAACTGCAATAGTTCTTTGTACCATGTGAGACCCCTTTCGATGTACATGTAAGCAAAGTGAAGAGTTTTATTTCTGAAAACAAAAATCAGGAATATTAGATTTTTTCATTTGTGAAATTAAAGTGATTTTTTTTAGATTTTAGGTTCATTTATAATAATCAACTCACATGACATTAGATACGTACAAATGTATAAATGACTCCAACGATATTTCATATTGTAATTCAAATACACTATTTGCAGATGATTGATACACTAAATTTATATAAATAAAGCATGCATTTTATATATAACGGCTCAAAAATCTTGAAGAGTGAGACTCAACACTCAACACATAATAGTTGGCATACTTATGCCCACAAAAAATTGACTTTTTTATAAGAATATTTTTGTTGGAGGCAACTATAATCAAAACTAAATCTAACTGTCAGGAGTCTTGCTCAAAAAATGAATCAAACAAAAAGCCAGGAAATTGGATATCGAGGGTATTTTTATTTTTATGATTATTTTTTGAGAGCTGTGACTGTTTTTCTCGCTGTTTTTTAACTGATCATGAACAAAAATTCTACTATATATTAAACCCTAACAGAAAAAATATCAAGTAACTGGAATAAATAAATGATTAATCAAACTTAAAAGGTTAGTATCTTTTTCCTTTTTTCCAAAAAACTTATGGGCCATCTTCGCAGACCCTGTTACACTGTTACCAAAGGACTTCACAATGTTTTCAAAGTGAATAGGGTAGTGGACAAGGTATAATTTCAATGAAATCGATGATCTATTCTTCATCTATGGAGTAAATAAAAAATATTCTTATCAAAAGAAATTTCAGATAAAATTACTAACCTTGTTTAAAACGGCGGTAAAAGTAGAGTTTTGGGACGCACTATTTGAACGAAAATATTTCGCGCCCTGATTCTACCTCATAGCTGTTGTATTTAAGTATGAATTAAATAAAGGCAGTGGATAGAGGTCCGAAAATTCGGATCTCTAGTGTTCATACTAAAGTTCCGATAATTCTCGGATTTTTAATTTGTATATTAGGGGTCCGAAAATGCGGATCTTCAGTGGTATTATTGAAGATCCGAAAATAGATGTTTATTTCTAATTCTGTCGTAATTAAGGTATATTATTCAATAAAATTGATAAAATGCTTGTATTTTTAAGGATTTATACTAGTAAAAAATGGATCCTCTAATCCTTTTTATGTAGAATAACTAATCAAGTTTACTCGAAAATATTTGGTTGGTGCAATTTCAAACAGAAAAGTACAAAAAACAAAACTAAGTACCTTTTTATTTTTTTTAAAACATTACATAATTAAAAATAAATATTTCTTCATTTTAGGGGTTGATAGGGTAAGAGGTGTGAGGTGGGATTTAGTTCCTTCTGCACTGCATGCAAAACCAGGCTTTCTTACTAGAAGGTAGAAGGCAGCTTTGTTGCTAAACAACGCACTTTATGTTTACACCGAAGACATGAATCACACCGTAAGCAATCTTCATGTATCACTTTGTTACATATATCACAAATCCATTTTAGCATACTATTTTGTTTTTCTCCAATTCGTTTTTGTAATAAAACATAAGAATCCAGACAAAAATATGCTTCTATTTCTGCTAGAGTAAAGATATTTCTTTTTCAAGAAGAAGTGGATCAATTTGTTGATGATGAGGAACGTTTTATTTCTCATTTTTAAAGTTTTTATGTAATGCTTTGCTTACCAAATCATCTGTATTTATTTATTTATTTATTGAAACAACTAATACAGGTGGATAAACCCTTCTAACAGTTGTGTTTAAGCTACAAACTAAACTAAAACTAAGGTTTTAACTTACAAGAAAAAAAACTAGGACTAGTTGGAGAATGCTAAATATTATGGAACATATATAGGTGCTTCTAGCTGTATTGTGTAATTTTAATGCTACTCATTTCCTAAAAACAGGTCTTTAGTTTTTCTTTTGAATTTCATGAGTGAGTCTCCAAATATATCTAAAAGATTTTGATGTTCATTGTAATTTAATAGCATTGTTCTTAGAGGGTCGCTGCCTTGGTAATTGGTTCTATAGTAAGGTACATAAAAAGTTCTATTGTTCCTATTGCGAGTATGCGAGGGGACTTGCAAGCCGATATGTTGCAGTGTAGTAGAGTCAAATACATGGCCGTTAAATATTTTGTACAGATATATTAAGCTAAAATATTTTCTCCTATTAAATATAGGGAGATCATATTTAATTTTTTTAGGTTTAATGGATAATGGCTGACGTGAATTTTATGAAGCAATATATCTGAGAGCCGAACAAATCTTTTTTGAATGTTTTCTATTGCCTGTATGTATTTAGTATAGAATGGTGACCACACTACACTGCAATACTCTAGCGGTGACCTCACAAAGCTGTTGTATAATACAATTAATGTCTTATCATTCACAAAATCTCTAGAGTTTCTTAGGAAGAACCCCAATTTTTTACATGAGGCACTTATAATATAGTTTATGTGTTCACTAAACATAAGCCTTTTATCAAAGATTATTCCTAGATCTTTAGTAGTAGTTACCGATTCCAGTTCCTTGTTATTCATAGTGTATTTAAATTCGATGGTTTTTTTAGAATATGTGTATGACATTTGTTTACATTTTTTTATATTTTTTTATATTGAAATGCAAAAGATTTTCCTTTGACCAATTATATATTATGTCTATTGTATTTTGCAGGGTAAGGCAGTCATTAATGTTTTTTATTTCTTTGAAGATTTTCATATCATCAGCAAACAAAAGAATTTTACAGGATTTGATGGTACTTGTGATATCATTTATAAATAAGAGGAATAAGAGAGGCCCCAAGGCGGAACCTTGTGGGACTCCCGAAGTGGCTGTGTAAGTGTTTGATTCATAATTTTTTACACATACAAATTGGTTTCTATATGAAAGATATGATTTGATCAGCTGACAAAGGTCTGATGAGATTGAAAAGGAACTAGAATGTTGTGGTCCACTTTGTCAAATGCCTTAGCAAAATCTGTATAAATCGCAGCATCAATTTGGTTACCATCAGCTAGGACTTCTGTGGAATATGTTACAAAATCCAGCAAGTTCCCCATTACCATCTATTTTTCCGAAATCCAAATTGCAGTTCTGACAGTTTAGGTTCTACATGGTTTATTATTGCTTTATAAAGTATGGATTCGAAAACTATACTAACGCTTGACAGGATAGCAATTGGTCTATAATTTTCAATGTTATTTCTAGGACCTGATTTGTAGATTGGTGATATACGGGCTATTTTGAATTGCTTAGGAAACTTCTTGCTGGTGATGGCCAAATTAAAGATTTTAGCTAAGGGTTCGGAAAGTACATCTTTGCACCCTTTCAGTAGGTATCTTGGTATTTTGTCAAGACCAACTGATTTTTTGTTTTTTAATTTAGATATAGCTTCCTCAACGTTTTTTCGAGTTATAGTAGGAAGAGTAAGAAGAGATTCAAAATTTAGGGTATCAATAAATTGGGTCCTTGTTGTATTTTGGGAAGGTTGATAGACAGATTCAAAATGTTGAGCGAAAGCATTAGCTATGTTGAGACCCTCTATATATGTGTCGTTTTCCCGAATCATTTCACAGGGGAAGTCATTTGAATTTTTTTTCTTTGATTTCACAAAACTCCAAAACTTTTTTGGATCCTGTTGCAAATTTAGCTCATCATTTTGAATGTATTGTCTGTACGCTATCTTGATATCTTTTTTGATTTTTGTTCTTAAGAACTTAAAATCGGTCAAGCATTGCGGCAATTTTGTTTTTTTGTATAATCTATGATTACGTTTTTACAAATGTTCATAGAATATGTCAACTGCTTGGTCCACTTCAGTTACATTTTCTAAGCAATTCCAATCAATGTCGCGAAGAGTTGAATATAATCCGAAAAAGTTTGCTTTTTTGAAATTGTAGTAAAAGTTTGCATTTTGAGGGCATGTTTCAAAGCTATTGTTTATACTTAGTTCTATTTCAAGAGTTGGGTGAAAGGGATCTTCTTTATCTTTTATAAAAGGCTCAGTACATCTTGTTACTTTACATGGCAAGTTACAAATTACCAGATCTAAAGTCCTGCCTAAAGAGTTTGATATCGAATTACATTGCTTGGCCCCTGTAATGTTACAAAAATTTACCAATATTGATTTCAAGTTTTGATTTGCTTGGTCAATATTAAAATCTCCCAATATTAAGAAATCTAGAGCTTTATCGAATATCAAATTTTCCAGGCAAGAAAACAGTGTCTCATATACTGTAATTGACTGAGCTGGTGGTATATACAAAGTTATCAAGAGTAACGATTTATGGTCCGACATGAGCTTGACACAACTTACATCGACATTAGCTAATGGAGATTTTGTACTCATGTCCAATGCTTTAATGCTACCCATGATCGCACTCAAAACACCACCCCCTCTGTTTTTCCGGGTAGCTGCTTGGTCGTGGTCGGCTCGAAACACTTTGTATTTACTGCTAAACAGTTCACCGTCATAGATGCTACCCTCCAGCCAAGTTTCCGTTAATGAAATAATATCGTATTCCGAATTTTGTACACTAGTGTAAAATTCGTAAGTCTTAGTCCTTAGGCCCCGTATGTTCTGGTAGTAGATACTCAAAACGTTGGGATTGATATTGTTAGCCATTGTAGTTTACTAGTTGTCTGTGCCTCTCCAGTTTCATCTGATATGCTGGACATTCAAAATCACGCGCACTGCATTAAGCATTATCTGGTGCCTCCGTTTAGGAACTTCATTTTTGAATAAAACACTTTTATTTTTCTTGGACCTTTTTAGTCCAATTGAAGTTAATTGATGTCCTTTGGGTCTTCCTTTATGGGTTTCAAAGGAAATTTAATACCTTTTATTTTTTCTTCTCATGGTTTTGTGCAGTAGTATTTGATTCTTGGGCTAGTTTCATTAAAATGGTGTCGCAAATATCTACAAAGAATAGGTAATATTCAAGATAAGTCTATTTCTGCAGAAATCACAAATTAGTCAGAGCAAATTTCATTGGTTGAAAACAGTCAGAAACAGTCAGAAAACTAGTATCAACCAATGGAATTCACTCTGACTGGTTTGTGATTTCTGCAGAAACAGACTTATCTCGAAAATTATTCTTTGTAGATACTTGCGACGATACTCCTTAATTAGAATTAGAAATAAACATCTATTTTCAAATCTTATTACCACTAAAGATCCGCATTTTCGGACCCCTAATATATAGGGTTTCCATAAAGGTTTTTTGGAATTCAGGACAAAGGAGTCAAGAAATCCGGACTTCGCCGAATTAGCTATTAAATCATGCAACAAGTGTGTAAAGTGAACCTTTTTCCACGAATGTAAATCTTGACGCACGAGCCGAAGGCGAGTGCTGACAATCACATAAGTAGAAAAGGTGTTTTACGGCCGTTTCCACCAACTATTTTAAGGAAGCTCTAATGATAAGTATTCTTTAAAATGACAGTTTTCCATGGAGAAATGTCAGTTTGAGGAATACTTATCGTTAAGGTTTCCCTAAAATAGTTAGTGGAAACGGCGATTACACACGTATTGCATACAAAAAGTTTCAATAAAATATGTGTAAAAACAAAATTGACAAATACTTTACGCACTAGAGAAAAACTAAATTCACAGTGTCGACATCCGTCATTGACATTACTTCACATACGCGTGAAGTGAAATTTTACGTCTTTTGAAAAGTGCGCGTATAGTATAGTGAGTACCTACTTTACGCACGGTAGTAAAAAATGGCTATTTATGCAACAACTGTGTAAAGACAATCACTCGGACAATCACATAAGTAAAAAAAAGGTATCTACTTTACACACATATTGTATACAAATTTTTTTCTGCAAAAATAAAATATGTCTAAAAAAATAAATTCAGACAAATACTTCACACATTACTAGAAACATTCTAAATTGACAGTATCAACATCTGTAATTGACAATACCATACGCACTAGTGTGTGAAGTGAATTAAGGCCGAAACCCACTAGCAACACGCCACGCCATACTACGCCACTCCACGCCAAGTGACACAGGTTCACGTGGGACAGTTTGTGTGCAAATGGACGGATGGCGTGGCGTGCCATGACGTGGTATCGCGTGTGGCAAGAGTGTACGCGGCACATATAAACAAATGGAAGAATATACGCATACATTTTCGTCATATGGCGTGGCGTGGCGAAGCATGAAGTGGCGTGTTGCTAGTGGGTTTCGGCCTTTACTTTACGACTGTCGACTGTCTACTCATTAGGGCGTAAAGTGAAATTTTACGTCTTCTGAATAGTACGTAAAGTGAGTACTTTACGTACGGAAGTAGAAAAAATAATTTAAATTTTTTAGCATGAATTTTGTTTAATTTTTGCAAAAATACATTTTTACAGAAATTAAAAAATAACCGTATAACGATTAAAGTATTTAACAAAGTTAGGCTGTTTTCACGATCTCCGAGTTTTCCGGACAGTGTTGCGAATTCCGGCCGGACTTCCCCGGACATCCTAAAAACCCAAACATGTCCGGGTAAATACGGACGTATGGAAACCCTACTAATATAGAAATTGAAAATCCGAAAATTATCGGATCTTAAGTATGAACACTAGAGATCCGAATTTTCGGACCTCTATCCACTGCCTTAAATAAAACCTACGTCCGATATTCGACACAAACTTACTCTTTAGTGCAAAAAAGAGAGATATATCAGCGTCTCTCGGGTATTATTACATTTAGGCGCACCCTCAACATAACCCCACTTTTTGAGAAAATTCTATTTATCAATCAGTGCACTGAGTTTATCGGCATCTTTTTCTGAAAGCATGTAAAATATAAGGACGGGCTATTGGACATACATAACAGCTATGATGTAATTTGTTAATTTTTTTTAACGTATATTTTTGTTTTCTAAAATCAAAGAATCATCAACAATTGTTTATTTTGTGATGAAGATTAATAAAAAAAATATTTCAAAAAATTGTCCACTACCCTATTACCCTAGAAATCCATCTTAAAACACTTCATCAAGCACTTCATACAATAAAAAGAAAACAAAATCTTACTTCCTATAAGGCCATACTGCCCGATGAAATGGAGGAATGAGCTGTTGCCTAGATTGGACATCCAAAATCAGCAGAACGGTTCTACAGCCTGGTTTCAAAAGCCGCACCAAGCCGTTGTACTTCTCCGATCTCAGTTCATGCAGTTTCAGCTCCGGTTGGTAGGAAGAGTTGGAATTGTTATTGTTATTGCCTGAATCATCATCTGCTCTCTTTTTCTTGATGATTTCTTCCTCTTTTTCACTACAAATAAATATACATTATATAGGAACTATTTATCAAGTTTTTAAAAATACTAACACAAGATGAGCCATCAAATAACCAATTCCCAAAATAAACACAATAGTGCCAAGAACGGAAAGTGCTGGTAGAATTTGTTCCCTGCCAAGACTATCATAAATTGATTCCAAAAATTGAGACACTCTCATGATAGCTTTCTTCACAAAACCAATGGCATGTTCATCAAATAAGTCGGTAACATAAGCTTCATATGGAAAAGTTTCTGAAGATTTTAATAGCCTAACAATAGTTTCTGCTAGCTTTTCATGTGAATTATTCAAGTTGCTTTCTAATTCCCATCTAACAGGTGCCCATTCATACCTTATCAAAGAAGTATCTCGTCTCCAGAACAATACAATTCTCAATAAGGGTTCCATGTTTTCACCATCTGGTCTTAAGGCACTGATAAAGTGAGCCTGACGTCTATGGTAAATATAAGCGAATCGAACTTTTTCAGTGCTATATGGAAATTTCTGAGCATAATGTCTAAAGCTCTGCCGATGTAAATCATGAACTGAAGAATCATCAGTTATCAAAGCAACACAAATTTTCTTTTTTGGTTGATTCCATTCACAAGGGCAAAGTTCATCTAACATTTTCTGCGATGATAATCTTGGAAGTGCCAAATATTGGTTTGAGGAAATAATGTTGTAAAGTGTGGATGTAGGAATATCCTTCATTGAGATGCTTGCCATTGGATAGGAGATATTTTCGTTAAATAGTAAAACAGTATCCATATCTGGAGGTACTTGATATTTGTTGTGGATGCTATCAGTTTCTGCAATACCAAAAGCTACATGGCGTCTGAAATGATATGCAGTCACAAGATACCGCAGCCTCGTATGTATTTTATGAGGCAGTATTAAACCTCTGATTCTATTATCAGACCAACCATCTAGAAATTCTTCCAAATTATCTTCGTTCAGTTTAGTAACCAGCTTATAAGGAAATTTGCTCTTGATGAATTCTGGAAATATATTTTTTTTTGTCAATTTCAATGTTTATCTAGTGCCAACTAATTTTTTTTTTAGTAAGTAAATCAATCATAGTTAATAAGAAATATGTATATGTATTCTAGAAAAACAGTTTGGTACCAACTAGTATTTTCTGAGTCAAAGTTACATTCTCTCTGATTAAGTTTGAATTTTTTGTTTTATTTATTCCAAGTTAGATAGTCAGCATCATATGTCTTGTGTGATCAGATTAATCAAAATTTTTCATTTAGTTAAAATTTGAGTGTAAGACAATGAAAAAATCCCTGCGTAGAAAAAATTTCAACCATAGGGGCCATAGGGGAAGACCTTGCATTGGAATGAATATATAATCACTTACCAATTATTTTTGGAACATTAGTTACACTTTCCTTATAAACATAACTATTTCCTTCGATGAGCAGTACAAGGCAAGGTAAAGTGTGTACGTTTAACCTTCTAGCTAAATTTGGTTCCCTACTCGAATGAACTGTAACAAAATTGATATCCAATGGTTCCAGACTATCGTGAAGCTTGCGACAATATGGGGCTGATTGCAAGCATGGGAAACACCAGTCTGTGTAAAAAAATAAGAGGTAGGGGGTTGTTTCGCTTTTGGGCAGAATGATTTTATCATATTGTCTGAAACATTACCAGTTTATGGGCTGATTATTGATTATATTAATGTTCTTACTTGGTGGTTATCGATAATTTATGAAAAAATGTGATGTCATTTTCTTGGAAATTGAAGTGTGCACCATTAGGGCCAAACATGTCGTCAAAAGGACTCTGGGTGAAAAATGAATGTTTTTCAGGTCTTTTATAGAAGTCATCTTCAGTGATCCCCTTCCTGTCATAAAGAGAGCGTCTGTCGGCATCAGAAAGAAGTTCGTAAGCTTGTTTGATTTCAACAAAACGTTCCTCAGCTTCTGGCGATTTTGATTTGTCTGGATGCCTAAAAAAATTATACTTATGTAATAATAGGTGAAAGGTTAAGGAATACAAATATAGAAAATATGTATAGTTATTGATAGGGTTCCTAGTCGATAGACATGTAGAGAATTTGTTGATGCCTCAAAAATTATTCTTGTGAAACATACAATTAAAACTCCTCAATAAAGAACTGAAAGTTGACATAAACACAAATATGAAAAAATTGTAGCAAAAACATAGAAAAAGAATTTCAATTCCAATAATGTATTTAGAAACAGCTGGATGAATAAAATTACAGTATAGACATGATAACAAAATAGTCAAGTATAGAAAGCTTTATAAAAATAATAGATCTAACTCATAGAGGGAGTATTTGATAGGAAGTTTTGCTAGATGCAAATACAACAGATTTTTTTTATAACGGTAGCTAATTGGGAAGTTGTAAATTGCATTGCTCTAAAATGATTCACGGATTGTGATGTTAGAATTGATGTTACTGACCATTCTTTCGCTAATTGCCTGTAAGCTTGTCTTATCTCCTGTGATGATGCTTTTCGATGCACCCCTAAAATAGTGTAGGGGTTACCTAATTCCCCTGCCAGAACACAAACAAATGTACTGCATATAACGCAAATTTGGTGCAAGGCAATCCATATCATCTTATTTTCTTCAAGAAAACTAGAATCATGAACCTAAAATTAGGAAAATGAATACATCATGAAAATGGAGAAGTATGTATTATTGATTTTTTTAGCTTTTTAATTATGATCCCAGAAATGAGGTTATATTTAGGATTGACAGTTCGTTGCAGGGTGCAGGAGCTGTGGTGCAGGGTTGCAGATAAATAATTAGCCCTTTTCACGTGGCTCCGGTTTAACAAACCGCAACATACCGCTCAAATTCGAGTGGCATCGAAGATGTCACTTGTCACTGTAACCGGGTTAGAAAACGGTATGTCACAATGAACTATAACCAAAGACTGGACTGCGAACACATATTGACGAACGTGAAGCCTAGTGCCGCTGCTGCGGAGGGGATACCTGTTTTTGTCACACTCATTATGTTAAATGGCGGAAATTGCTTCCAACACGTATTCAAATTGATGAAACCTGTGAAGGTAAATATGACAAAACTTTCGAAAACGTCATATGTCAACAAGCAACAGAAAAAAACAACATTCCCCTTTGTGACATCTGTCTTTCATGGCTTCATTTTTTTGGCAGATATGGCAATGTGTGCGCATTCCAGTTTTTGGCTATACTTCATTGGTATGTCATTTCAACCGCCTCAGCGATATAAGCCGCTTTCCAGCTGACGCTTTTGAGCACGCAATCGAGCTTTTGCGCGCGCAAATGCTTCAAGCGCGTGTTCGTGTTCCAGCCGTACTGCGTTTCGAGAGCTGATAACTTTTGCGTTTCAAACACAGAACACTGTGCTGCACCGTGCTTGAAGCACACAGCTGCACGTCGAGCGGTTAGAAGAAAAAAATATTAACAACGGAGAGCGGAAAAGTGTAAAAAGTAAATAAAAAGTTGTGTTTTGTATATTGTATACAATTACTACGTTTTCATGGAGTTTTCAAATCGTTTTGAATCCAATCCTCTTCTCCGTTTTCATGCAGAGGCAAAATTAGAATTGAAATCGAATTGCATGTTTTTGAATTTAAATCTGGATACGATCCCAAAAAAAGGTGAAACGACCTTGAGACTGAAATCGATTTCAGTACCTGTTTTCATGGCGTTTTCAATACCAAAACCGTATTCAAAACGATTTCAAAACTCCATGAAAACGTAGTAATTATTATATTTTATGAATTTGAAGCCCGAAAGCCGTTTTTCCTTGTATACAGCTTGATTTACGAGGCCCGTGCATTAGAAATTGTTCAGTTTGCAGGTGGATTAGCATAAATACCACCTAGGGCCGGTTTCTCAATACTGGGCACATAATAGCGGGTCACCTACGGGTATTGGTTTAAGGTTTTACTTTTAACTGCAGGATAAGCGTGTGCAGTTGCAGTTGCTATGTAGTATGTTTACCCTGGAGTTATGCTTAACCCGGGGGTGACCTGCTATTGAGAAACCGGCCCTAATCTACCTGCTTATGCACGGACTACGTAAATCGCCCTGTATTATACTCAAAATATATACCAGAGACGAGACAATCCCAGTTTACCCACTTGATAGGCTGTTGTAGACTGTAGGTAACGAGAACTTATAAACTTTAGATAAGGCTAAATAAACCTTTACATACAGTGGCGACAATAGAGGTCTCGCCGCCATTTTGTTCCCAACCTCTTGTTACTCTTAAATATTGATATATAGGATTTAAAAGGAACATCTATCATAAAAAATTGAAATCGACGTATTTGATTACTATTAGGTCCATCAAATACGTTGTTTTCCATGTTTTATGATGGATGTTCACCCAAATACCATATATTCATACTCGAAATAAGCAATAGGTGGGAACAAGATGGTCGCGTTTTCAATATAAATTATATGGGATTTTAGAACCAATCAAAAATAAGACATCAATTGTCGCTACTGTGGGTAATAGAGTCACTGTATATCCACATATTAATTAATTGTGAATTGCTCGCATTTAAGATAGTTTTGTCCATAGTAGACCAGTATACATAATAGGTAGGTTAGGGGTCAGATTTAACGGCACTGACCAACCCAACCTCAAATCGAATTTAAAATAAAATTTTTCTAACCGTTCGTTTTCAAGTGGCATTTGGCATTTTCAGTAATCAGTATCTATTCGGTCGCCAAACGCAACGGTTCGATTTTGCAGTACATACAAACGTGCCACAAAAGTAAACAAAGTCGCGAATTTGTTTTTGTTTAACAGTCGCGCGTTATAAATAAAGTGGGCCAAGTTCATTTAAACAATATCAGTCGGTAATATTATATTATGTTTAAAAAGAAAAAAAGTGTTACGTCGTCACCTGTAAAGCTTGTTTTCCAAATAGAAAGAAATCCTCCAAAAAATCCAAAAATGGCAAACACCTCATTGTTTGAGGAAAGCCATGTTAGAACACCAAATGAAGATACCTTATACAGCGAATGGAAAAAATCGCAAAACGAAAAAAATTCACTTAGTATTCAAGTGGATTATCTCCAGAGCCAACTGGAAACTATGCAAAAAAAGTTTGCCGATCTAGAGACAAAAGTTAACCAAAAAAAAAAAGTCCAGCATGGACTAGCAAACCGACGAAGACGAGTTAGCAAAAGAAACTGAGTGGATCAGACAAAAGGGAAAAGGCTGGAAAAAACGTTAAATGGATACTTCGCTATCACCACCACAAAAGAACGCTGGCTCGGACACTACTGGAGAATCCTCCAAGGCTAAAAAGGTGCCATTACCCCCACCGATTATGGTTAATGGCGTTAATAACTTTAACGATATTTACGATAAGTTAAATATCATACAAGGAGTCCAAATAAAAGTTTTAAATAACGAAAATATCAAAATAAACGTTCAGGATGCAGACAGCTACAGGCTGGTCACCAAAATGCTAAATGAAATAAAGCTTCAATGGCATTCATATGAAAACAAACAAGAAAGGTCAATTAGAGTAATTGCCAACAGGTTACACTTTCCCTGTGATCCAGAAAAAATTGTAGCTGACCTTAAAAATAAAGGGTTCAAGGCTCTAGAAGCCTCCAACAAACTTAAGTGGAGAACAAAACAACCACTAAACATGTTTATGATAACATTTAGCCATGATGAAGACATCAACAAAATTTTCGAAATTTCCAAAATACTTGGAACTCAAGTGGGAATGAAAGCACTAAAAACTTCCAAATTAGTCCCTCAATGCAAAAGATGTCAATCTTATGGACATACTCAAAAATATTGCGCTAAAAAGCCACGATGTGTGAGATGTACAGGAAAACATGTCACTGTAGACTGTTCGAAACCAAAAGATTCTGAGCCAAAATGCGTCCACTTTAATGCAAAAAATACCTACTGGGGTTCCAGACTAACTAATTCCAAGGGGAAGGAACTTCTGCAAGCTATTAATGTTTATCAATGCCAGCCATTATCCATAGGTAGGCCAACATATTATCCAACCGATCCTGGAAAAATTCCCGATCTAATCGATTTTTTCGTAATAAAAAATATATCTCCAAATTTTCTGGAGATAGAAGAAAGTTATGATTTACACTCAGATCACTCACCTTATTATCCTAACTCTGAGTGAATATATAAAGAAAAAAGCACCTATCTCATTAGTTAATAAACTGACGGACTGGGCTAGTTTTAAACAAAGTCTGTCGGAAAAGATAAACTTATCAGTACCGTTGCGAACGCCACAACAAATTGATGAAGAAGTCGATTGTTTTATCGTTAATATTCAACAAGCAGCTTGGGAAAACAGACCCAAATTAAAAAGAATTTTTAAGGGCAAAAATTACCCAAAAGAAATTAGAGGTATTATTATAGAAAAAAGGAAACTAGGAAGAAAATGGCAGCAAAGTCGAGATCCCCATGACAAAACAATTATCAACAATATGACGCAACGCATAAGGCGAGAAATTCAAGAAATCAAAAATGACTATATTAACAATTATCTTAGTGAACTCACCGGCGACAAAAGCACTGATTATTCTCTTTGGAAAGCAACAAAAGGCCTTGAAAGACCAGTTACCCAAATTCCACCCATAAGAAAGTCAAATCAGCAATGGGCAAGGAGTAACGAAGAAAAAGTAGAACCTTTTGCAAGTCATTTAGAAAGGACATTTCAGCCTAACGAAGCACAGGATGAAAATATTCCCTGGAATAAACCATATCAAGAAGAAGGCCACATTAAGCCTACATTCAAAAATATTAGAAATGCCACATATAGAAAATCCAAAATTTCAGAAATCTAACCAGAAAGTAGTGAAATATGACTTAGAGTCAAGAAACTCTTCGACTGCATCATACCTAAAACAAAATAATATTACCTGATAAAAATATGGCACGAGCTGAAAAGCTTGTAGTGCTAGCAAAATATAGGAAAAAATGACAAAATAATATCTGAAAAATGATGATATTAAGATTCTTTTTTAAATTTTTTGGGTATCAAATCAATTTCTATTGTTCATCATCAGAAGAATCGTGCATTATCCCTTCAATTTCATCGTCCATATCGTCGGTATAAAAATAAGATATTGAGCGTGATAAACGAGCAAATTTATATGAAAGTTGTATGGAATTCTTAATTCAGGGTTCTGAACAACAACGTTCATCAGATTTTATGAAGGCAACCCGAAACGACAATTTTAAACAGTCCTTGATCAAATTTTTATGTCAGTTTTGGCAAAATGATATGTTTGTTGAAATTGTAAGTAATAAAACTATATATGTCAATTGCAATAAAGATTGTTACAAATTTACTGTTGTCCCAGGACATATACATAGAGACATTGTTGATACCTTCCAAGTGTTTCCATGAAGAAGCTGACAGCCGAATAATCTTTCATTTGTCAAAAATTGAAGCAAATACTGCAAATAATAATGCGGTAGTTCGTGCTTCTGACACTGCTAGGGAATCTACACAAAATTAATAGAAACGTCGATGTATGGTTGGAGCTGCATCTGAAAATACCTGTAGATTTGTTGACGTTAGTGCAATCTTCAATAAATTGGGATCCAGCATGTACAAATCTCCACCAACTTTTCATGCTTCTACTGGATGTAATTATACCGCATCCTTTTCCAGAAAAGGCAAGCTGAAGCCTTTTGGTATAGGACCAGAAACTACAAGAAGTAGATACTAGGTATAATGCTGGCATTTCGAAAGAACAAATTGAATCTATAGAAAGGTTTATCTGTGCAATGTACGGAAAACCCAATTTGTACAATATCAATGATGCTCGATTCGATATTTTTTACGATCATTGTAACCCCAAACCAAATTAAAGTCCGTTCAAGAACTTAACACGGTTTTGCATGGTGGTA